CACACACACACACACACACACACACAATCCGTTCTTTAAAAAAAAAAAAAAGAAAAGAAAGAAAGGAACCTTATGAATCCAGCCAGGGCCCACCAAACAACAATGATGGCTGCAACCAAAACATAGCCGAGCATTGTGGCGGGCACCTGTGGTCCCAGCAACTTGGGAGGCAGAGGCAGGAGACTTGCTTGAGCCCAGGAGTTGGAGGTTGCTGTGAGCTATGCCACAGCACTCTACCCAGGGGGACAGCTTGAAGCTCTGTCTCAAAAAAAAAAAAAAGAAAGAAAGAAAGAAAGAAAGGAACCTTCCCCAACATGTTCTATGAAGCACACATCACCTTGATTCCAAAACCAGAAAAGGACCCAATAAACAGTGGCAATAGGGTGGCACCTGTGGCTCAAAGGAGTAGGGCAACAGCCCCATATGCAAGATGTGGTGGGTTTGGTGGGTTCAAACCCAGCCCTGGCCAAAAACAGAAAGAAAAAAAAATGACAATAAAAGGGAGAACTACAGACCAATTTCACTAAATGAATATTGGTGCAAAAATACTCAGTAAAATCTTATCCAATAGATTACAGCTACATGTTAAAAAATTATAAATAATGATTAAGTAGGCTTCATTCCAGGGATGGAAGGTTGGTTTAACATATGCAATTCCATAAATGTAATTCACTGTAAGAAAAGAAGCAAAAACAGAGACCATGTGGTCCTCTGAATAAATACAGAAGATAAAATTCAGCATCCTTTTCTAACGAGAACACTTAAGAATGTAGGCATAGGTGGCACATTTCTTAAGCTGATTGAAGCCATCTATGACAAACCCAAAGTAATATCATACTGAACAGAGTAAAACTAAAAGTTTTTCCACTTAGAACTGGAACCAGACAAGGATGGTCATGATCATCACTACTGTTCAGCATAGTTCTGGAAGTTCTAGCTAATGCAGTTGGGCAAAAGGATACAAAGGGCACCCAAAGTGGGGCAGAGGAGGTCAAACTCTTGCTCTTTGCTGATGATATGATTTTATACTTAGAAAACCCCGGAGACTCAACCATTAGACTCCTGTAAGTGGTCAAGAAATACAGTAACATCTCAGGGTATAAAATCAGTAGCCTTTGTATACACCAATAACAACCAAGTTGAGAACCTAATCAAAGATACAATTGCCTTCACAGTAGCCTCAAAGAAAATGAAATACCTAGAATTATACCTAACAAAAGGGGTGAAGGGACCTCTACCAAGAGAATTGTGAAGCCCTAAGAAAAGAAATAGCAGAACAGGGTGGTGCCTGTGGCTCAAGGAGTAGGGTACTGGCTCCATATACTGGAGGTGGTGGGTTCAAGCCCAGCTCCAGCCAAAACTGCAAAAAAAAAAAAAAAAAACTTTAGCAAACTAGTAATAAAAAAAACTTAATCAACTAATAAAAAGTAACTACTTAAAGAAAAAAAAAGCAATAGCAGAACATACCATGCTTTTGGCTGGGAAGAGTCAACATTGTTAAAATGTCTGTTCTACTCAAAGCAATCTACAGATCAACGCAATCCCCATTAAAATATCAGCATTATACTTTGAATAACTGGAAAAAAAAATAGTTCTTCATTTAGTATGGAACCAGAAAAAAAAACATATAGCCAAGGCAATATTTAGTAATAAAAATAGTGCCAGAGGCATCACCCTGTCAGATTTAGGCTATATTGCAAGTCCACAGTGATCAAAATAGCATGGCATTGGCACAAAAACAGAGACATAGACATATGGAACTGAATAGAAGACCAAGAGATGAAACTGATCTCTTACGGCCATCTGATCTTTGATAAACCAAACAAAACCGTAAAGGAAAAGACTCCCTATTCAATAAATGGTGCTGGGAGAACTGGATAACCACATGTAAAAGACTGAAATTGGACCCGCACCTTTCACCACTTAACAAAAATTGACTCAAGATGGATAAAAGGTTTAAATCTAAGACATGAAACAATAAAAATCCTAGAAGGGTGGCACCTGTGTCTCAGTGGGCAAAGTGCATATACTGAGTGTGGCGGGTTCAAACCTGATCCCGGCCAAACTCCAACAAAAAAATAGCTGGGCCTTGTGGCAGGTGCTTGTAGTCCCAGTTACTCCAGAGGCTGAAGCAGGAGAATCACCTAAGCCCAAGAGCTGGAGGTTGCTGTGAGCTGTGACACCACAGCACTGTATCAAGGGCTACAAAGTAAGACTCTGTCTCTAAAAATAATAATAATAAATAATAATAATAAATCCTAGAAGAAAATGTGAGAAAAACTCTTGACAATGTTGACCTAGGGAAAGATTTTATGAAGAAGACTTCTATGGCAATTGCAACAATAACAAAAATAAACAAATGAGACTTAATTAAACTGAAAAGCTTCTGCACAGCTAAGGACACAACAATTAAAGCAAATAGACAACTTTCAGAATGGAAAAGAATGTTTTCATGTTATGAATCTGACAAAGATTTGATAACTAGGATCTATAGAGAACTCAAATTCATCACTAAAAAGGAGCAAACAATCCCATCTGTCACTGGGCAAGAGACATGAACAAAACCTTCTCTGAGGATGACAGACGAATGGCTAATGAACATATGAAAAAATCCTCATTGTGGCTCGGCTCCTGTGGCTCAAGCGGCTAAGGGGCCAGCCACATACACCTAAGGTGGCGGGTTTGAATCCCCAGCCCGGCCGCCAAACAACAATGATGGCTGCAACCAAAAAATAGCCGGGCGTTGTGGCGGGTGCCTATAATCCCAGCTACTTGGGAGGCGGAGGAAGGAGACTCGCTTGATCCCAGGAGTTGGAGGTTGCTGTGAGCTGTGATGCCACGGCACTCTACCCAGGGGGATAGCTTGAGGCTCCGTCTCAAAAAACAAAAAAAATCCTCGTTGTCCCTAATCATCAGGGAAATGCAAATCAAAACCACCCTGAGATATCACCTAACCCCAATAAGATTAGCCCACATCACAAAATCCCAAAGCTGCAGATGCTGGCATGGATGTGAAGAAAAGAGAACACTTTTACACTCTTTTGGTGGGACTGCAAACTGAGATTCTTTGGAAAGAAATACAGAGAATCCTCAAAGAACTCAAATTAGACCTCCCATTCGACCTGCAATTCCACTACTAGGCATCTACCCAAAAGAAAAAAGAAATCATTTTATCGAATGTTTGTTGTAGCTTAATTTATAATTGCCAAGATGTAGAAATAATCTAAATCTCCATCAACCCAGGAATGGATTAACAAACTGTGGTATATGCATACTATGGAGTACTATTTAGCCATTAGAAAAGATGGTGACTATACATCTTTTGTATTTATCTGGGTGGAGTTGAAGCACATTCTTCTTAGTGAAGTATCACAAAAATGAAAAAGCAAGTATCCAGTGTACTCAGTACTAGCCTATAGCCAATAGATGATCTAATACATGCCCACATAGGAGAAAAACTTCCTTCTGTTCAAATTGGGGGGGGGTGAACAAAGGAGGGGAGCAAGGAGGGGGGTTGGGGGTGCTCCCACTTAAAGGGTGCAATGTAGAGGTACACGGCACACCTTTTGACTGTGGGACACAATTACAAGAAGGACTCTACCTAACAAATTCAAAAATTATGACCTGGTTGTTTGTATCTTCGCAATAACCTGAAATTTTAAAAGAAAACACCAAATTTCTCGCCAAAACCACTGAGTCAAAGAGCAGTGCACATTTTTCAAGTGCTAAAAAAACCATCAACCCAGAATCCTATCTTCAGCAGAAGTATCCTTCAGAAATTAAGAAGACATCAAGATATCCTCAGATGAAGGGAAACTAAGAATTTGTTACCAACAGATCTGTTCTAAAAGAGTGGCTTATGGACATTATTTATGCAGAAAAGAAACGGTCAGAGAAGGAACTGAGAAGGAATAACATACTAAGCAAAAATACTGGGTAAATACAATATACTTTCTCCTCCTGAGTATTCTAAATGATGGTTAGTGGCCAAATTTTGTAATGAATATTTTGTAAATAAATGTCTATTTAGCTATAATTTGCCATCTTCCCTATGTCACCTTATGGGTGACTGGCTTTGGGGACATCTGCAGTTGGCTGTTATCTACACCCTTGACACTGTCTAGTCTGCTATCTGGATGGCGGAAACTCCACAAAAAGTCTCTCCATTTTTGGAGAGGCTCTGCATTTACCATACACCTACCAGCAGCTAGAAGTCAGCCACATGAGAGTGTTTACACCATGGAAATCGGCAAACGCTAAAAACATGGTTTATTGACTGTCTAGATTTGATGAATTAATGGAAAAATTCTGACAATGGAGTTATTCCTGCATGGAGAATAGCCCAGGAGCTTGCAGAAGCGTCCAGCGTCCAGCTACTATGTTCTGAGTCAGCAAAGACACCACTGAGAGCGGTGCTCAGAACTCTGCTGCTCACCTTCCCTGTCACACTCTAGTCTTGCTTACTGAGATAGCAAGAACACCACCAGCACTGATGTGGGAAGTACTCGGGCAGCACCGGCTGGGTCCAGATGATAGAGCTGGGTACAGAGCAGCGAAGCATTCAGTGAGGATCACTTGGCTCTGTGGACCCCATGAGAAAGAGTGTGTTAAACTGTGTGCCACGCAGCCCTTACACACATACATCCAGGCTGCACGTTTGCCCAGCGAGCCTGTTGTTCGCCTTCAGCAGCGCAGCACCAGTTGGGAGGGCTCCCAGGTGGGCCTAGGGTGCTGAAGGAACAGCTGGATCTCCTTACTCCCAAGCTGCTGCCTTGCTGAGGACAGTGGGATGGGGGAAAGTCCAGTCCAGGCTCTTCATGCCTGAGTGCTAAAAACACAGATGAAGGGCCGGGCAGGAGTCCTTGCTAAACATGTAGATTCCTGGGCTGCACCCTAGGCTCCAACATGAGGGTCAGGGTGGGGCTGTGGCCTTGGTGTCTCCTGGGGGGACAGGCCTGCTGAGCACAGCAGCCAATGCTATTCTCTGCACTGCTGCCCAGGCCTCGGTGTACTGCGTGGCTGCCATCCTGTGGACAGCTGCCAAGTTCAGCGTTCCTCGCAACCATAAGTTGGCCCTGCCACGCAGGCTGAAAACTCTCCTCCTAGACATGGCCAAGTGCAGTGCCACGGAGCGGCCATCCATCGCTGAGGCCAGCAAGGTAACTGCATAGAAATCATGGCCTACCTTGCAGTCTGAGGGCCTCAAGCCTTGGCCACTATCCCGGGGTTGGGCACGTGGAGACTAGGAGGCTAGTGTTCAGGTACTCCCCTTCTAAGAAGGGGGAAGGTGGTGGGTTTCATCTGTGGCCCCATCCACGTGGGTAGGCAGCATGGGGTCCCTGCCTGCTCACCATCACGGCCATTCCTCTGGGGCACCCCAGTCTCGCTATTGTGTCTGGTGGCCAGAGAATGGGTAAGAGTGTCCCAGAGTTGACCTTCAGGGCTGGGTTGTGACCACCCTCCAGAAAGGGGCCTGTGCCCATGCCCTGCAGGTAACCCCACTGTCATGAGGCCATCAGACCCTCTGGAAGAAGTCCCATGTGGACAGGAGGGGAGAGAGGGCCATGGAGGTAGACACCTGGGCTGGTCCCTCTCTGCCCTGGCTGTTCTGTGATCTGAGCCAGGCTGATCCTCCGAGGATGAGCTCTGGTGTCCACATGGTGGGATTGAGTTGCCCAGGAGCTGCGGGCAGCAGGCAGCAGGGCAGCAGCCTATGCACAGGCCGCCTGGGCTATGAAGGGAGCTTGGGTGGGAAGGGGAGCATGCTCTGGGGGGACTACATGCCCTTTCTGGTAAGTGCTCTAAGAAAGGGAGTTGTGGGCCTGTGGTCAGGTGTCTGAGAAGCAACAGTGAGTTCTGTGAAACTCAGAGCTGTTTCAGACAGGAACTCACTGTGTGGGCTGGCGGCCATAGTGGAGGCCCACAGCTCAGCTTGTCGGAATGTGAGGATGGTCCCCTGCTCTCAGGTGTGTGGCAGTTACCTCCTCCAGCGGGGCATGGACAGCGGGAAGGTCTTGGCCCACCTGAGAGCGTCCACCTGCAAGGTAGGTGCGCACCACAGCTGTGGCCCTTCCCCCTGCCTTCCTCAGCCTTCTCCCTCCAAGGGGCCCCAGACTGCTGGGTCCTCCCTGCATGCCCAGGGCTCCTGCTGCACCTGGACCAGGCCCCTGTGTCCTCTCTCCCAGGTTTACGCGGAAGAACAGAGCATCAGTCTCCAAAAGGTTTTCTTGGTGGCTGAGCCGAAGCCCAGCGCGGTGCCCACTCCAGAGTCCAGCCCAGGTAGGCTCCTACCCCAGCCAGCTGCCCCTGCCCTACCCCATACCCAGGCCACCCTGCCCCTGGAGGTCCAGCCCTGAGTGAACACATGCAACTAGATATCGCCTGGAAGCCCAGGGCAGCATGTCTGCTACTCACCCAACATGGCCTCCGCCTCTCCCAAAATTCATCTCAGCAGCATCTCTGTCCTGGCTTCCATACCTGGCCTTCCCTCATAGGCCCATACTCCGAGTTCCTCAGTTCTTCAGCCTATTTTCTCACCACCTGGAGCCCATCAGGCGTCATTACCCCCACCTTGGCAAGTCCTTGGACCCCTGCCCTGCCCAGCCTTTCTGGGCTGGCCCCAGGATCCTGCCCTCCCCCAAGCAGTGGCCACTCTGGCCTCTACCTCTACCTCAGGACATAGGGAGAGCCCAGCCCCACACAGCCTGCAGACCAGCGAGTGGGGCCCTGGATGCCAGCCCCACACACACACACCCACCACCCCACCCCCAGGCTTCATGACAATCAGCAGCAACACCAGACTTGTGGCTGTGCCAGGTCTCATACCCTGCCATCCCTTCTGCTGCGAAGGAGCCGCCCTGCTGCCAGCTGCCTTCACCTCTGAGGCCACTCACTTTAGGCCCATAATCCTCGCAGAAGACACTACAGTTCCCCGGTGAGTCTCCCCAGAGCCAGCGGGGTCTTAGCATGGGGCTCCCTGCCGAACTCGAACTCCTTCCTCTTCCTGTGCAGGGACCAGCCTGCCTTGAGCTCAGGGCCAGTGGAGGGGCCAGCGGAGAGAACCAGCCAGCCAGAGAGCAGCGGTGAGGGGACACACTGCCCCAGGGTCCCCTCTGGAAATAGCCTGGAGGCACCTGGTCCAGGGCCCCAAGAAATGGCCCCGGAACCTCTCAGAGAGTCCGTACTTCCAGGCTTTGCCCTGGGGAACCCACACTCCCCACCCCTAGCCCCTGAGAACCTGCTGGAGGGGGCCTTATCAGTGACTTCCAGCTCGGCTGACCCCACCCCACCCCTGAAGCCATTGGTGCCACTCCCACAGCAAGGGACAGATGGGCAGGTTCTACCTGGATCCACTTCTGGACTCAAGCCCTGCCTCCCAGGGCCTACCATAGCCAGCCATGGCCCCCGCCATCCCCCTAAGCCACCTCGGAGTAAGGCCACTGAGCGCCTAGGCCACGAGCCAGAGGGCCCCCCACCAGCCTCATGGGGCCCCGCCCTGGCCAGGGAGAATTCAGACAGCCCCAAGGGCAGCCCTGCCGGGGGGTGTGGTGACAGTACCCCCAAGAGGCCCCAGCCAACAGACTGCAAGCTCTGCCTGCCCAGCGTGGACCCTTCACCCTTTGCAAAGAAGGAGGCCTGCCCATCCCTTCAAGAGGCTACACGCCTTATTCAGGAGGAGTTCGCCTTTGATGGCTACCTGGACAATGGGCTGGAGGTCCTGATCATGGGTGCGTGGGGGCCACAGCAGCCCCAGGGAAGCCCCCAGAGCAGGGAGAGGGTGCCTGCCCCAGCCCCCAACCCAGAAGGCTGCTCTCACCCACAAATGAACATGTCGCCACCATTTTGCAAAACCAGGGGAATATATTTTCGCCTTGAAAGATCTCACCTTTGCCACTTTCTGTGGCGCCATTTCTGAGAAGTTCTGTGACCTCTACTGGGATGAGAAGCTGCTACAGAACCTCTTCAAAGTGGTGAATGGGCCGACCCTGCCCTCCCAGAGGTGAGAACCCCAGGGGAAGTCCCCCAGCCAGGCAGGGGATCAGCACCAGTGCTATGGGCAGCGGCCCCAGCCTCATAAGGGGAGAGGCACAGGGTGGACCCTGCTATGGGAGATGGCTGCAGGGCACAGGCAGGAAAGGAGACCACAGACCACACCAGGGCCTGGCCTACCAGGGGAACAAAGGGCCCACCCCCCTAGAGCAGCATCTATGGCAGCTGCAGAGGAGGGGCTGGGGTGGGGGTTGGTGGGCAAGGCCATGCCTGGAGCACCCTAGACACCCTGCACTGAGGGACATGTGGACCCCAGCACCAGGTAAGAGTGACAGGACTGCAGTTAGGGGCTGGAGAGGGGACCTGCCTTGTCCATGGCCCCAGACAGAACCTGCAGCAGCCTGGCAGCTGCCTGTCCCCAAACATAAAGCATTTTTGTGGCAGAGCAGGGCCACCCTAGACTATCCTGATTCTGTCTTGGGACCCCACAAAGATAAGGACCTAGAAATCCCTTTTGTGCCCACACCCCTTAACAATCCTGGAGGAGTGGCTCAAGTGGCTAAGGCGCCAGCCACATACACCTAAGGTGGCGGGTTCGAATCCAACCCGGCCCCGCCAAACAACAATGACGGCTGCAACCAAAAAATAGCCAGGCGTTGTGGCGGGCGCCTGTGGTCCCAGCTACTTGGGAGGCAGAGGCAGGAGACTTGCTTGAGCCCAGGAGTTGGAGGTTGCTGTGAGCGGTGAAGCCACGGCACTCTACCCAAGGGGATAGCTTGAGGCTCTGTCTCAAAAAAAAAAAAAAATCCTGGAGGAGCACTTCAAGACCTTTTGTGGCCCACAACCGTGGGCTCTGCATGGCCACGTGGCCCTAATAAGTCCTATTCACACCCTAGAATACTCCCTGTGAGGCCTAAGGGATGGGGGTTCTCCACTGAGCCTGCAGTCTTATCCGGCTGACGGGGCAGAGTGGGGCTGTCTGACCCAGTTCTCCTCTCAGCACTTCCGAAGAGGCTGGGTCTCCAGAGTGCAGGCCAAGTGGTGGGTCACCATCCAGCCAGACACCCTCTCTGCAAGGACTAGGTAAGAGCCACACTGTGCCTCGCAGGCCCTACAGACAGGGCTCCTCACCAAAAGGGCCCTGCCCTGAGGGACACCTTAGGCCCCCATGCTTGTCCCGGTCTTCTGGGGTTTTCATTTCCACCAGGGCTTAGGCAGGGAGCCCAGGGCCTATGTTAGGGCTACCGGTCTCAATCCCTCATCACCACCACGGGGTAGACAGGGCCTGGCCCCTGAGTGCACACAAGGAGTGTGAAACTGGAGTCCACAGGCACCCAAATCTGCGAAGGGGCCTCCAGGTGCAGTTCCATATCACCAGACATGGTGGCCATGTGCAGGAGGGCACCTGGCCTTCTGGAGCTGGTCAACAACCTCTGCCTACCTGGGCCGAGGAGAGTCACTGCCCATGTGACCTGCCTCCCTTTCTCTCAAGGAAAAGAGAAGCCAGCTGCGGCCAGGACTGGGCGAGCCCCCAGCTTAGCCCCCACCCTGCCAGACCTGGACTCGGACGAGCTCTCACAGGGGAACTTCGAGGTGGGGTTTAGGCCACAGAAGTCTGTAAGAGCCGAGAGACAGCAGCCTGAGGACAGCCAACCAGTTGGTGGGGCCTCAGACGCAGAGACAGTGGCTCAACTGGCCAGGCCTGGGGAGGGTGGCCCTGCAGTGTCCCCTGGCCCAGCTGCGTTCCAGAGCTGCAGCCCCGGCTGGTCCAGCGCTTTCTACGAAGCTGACTGCTTTGGGGCGGATGTGCACAACTACGTGAAGGCCCTGGGGCGGCAGATGGCAAGTGGCCTCTCACAGCTGGACACCCAGGCCCCGGTGAGTCCAGGCGCCCACTGGTGCATTCTTAGAGCAAGGCCTCCTCCAAGCAGAGCCTGGGTCTCTCCTGGCTACAGATGGTGCTATGAGTGCAGACACCCTCCCCAGGGCCCCACTGCCATGGTCTGCCCCTCACTCCCAGTGCCGGCATTCCTGCTCTGGTTGTCTCCTCTCAGGCAGGTGGGGCCTACCCTCCCAAGTTCATCTCATCTCTGAGTTAAAGAAAATGCCTTATCCCCCAAGCTCAGGCTGGGCCCAGCTGCTGCAGCCTAGCTAGGCTTCTCTTCCAGTCCCGCCATCCTGGGGCAGGAGCAGCAGAGAGTAGGTCAGAGCTGAGCAGCTGGGCCCAGCCACCTCATGTGCCAGAGAGCCCTAGCAGAGCCCTGGACACAAGGCTGCCCATGACCTTGTGGGTTGCCCCATGACCTTGTGGGCTGATTTGAGAGATCAGAAGCCGCAAAGGCCCCAGTGGGCCTTTGGAGACCCCTAGCATTGCCTTCTGCCCTGCCGTTCTCTCCCAACCTCCTATTCTGAGCATCTCTCCAACTTCTGTGCATGGGAGCCTTCCCTGCCCACCTCTGATGCTCCGATCTTCATGTCGCTGCCTGGCCTAGGAAGTGATCCACACCTCCTTGGGAGCAAGTGTGAGGACAGGGCTACACCCTTTGAAATGCTTTGGGCTACATGGCAGGTGGGGTGTCATGCTGTGGTCTCTGCATGTGCCCAGGCCACAGGCCTAGAGTTGTGTACTGAGGGGCTTCAGTGGGAAAGGAGCAGCCTGCACAGTGCACCCCCAAATATACAGCATCCAGACAGAGCCCACAGCTCACCCCACCTCTCAGATCAGGTGAAAGCTCCATGCTGCTACTTCAGAGTCTGGATCTCTGACCAGAAAGACAGAGACTCCACTCCCTGCCAATCCTGGGTCTGGCTCCTCCCTCCAGTCAGGCCTGGCCCTCCAGCTTCCCTCCCCAGTGCGCATTTACATGGGGACCCACAGAGTGGGTCAGTGTTCTCCAGCAGCTCTCCACCTGTGGCCACCTTGCCAGGGAACAGAAAATAACCCAACTGCACTAGAAAGTGCGAGCCTTGCCACCGGCCACATTGTCCTCTTGTGATCTTGGGAAACTGAGGCTGAGGGAGGGTTGCAGCCCCACAGGTAGTGAGAGACTGGAATGGAGCTGGCTTCTGGGATGCAGCCACCGCAGCCACTATGGCAGGGCCAGCCACCTCAAGTGAGTGCTGGCCTTGTGCCAAGTGTGGCAGGTCCCCCACCAAATGTCTCCTCAGATGTTGGTGGATCGTGTGACATCTTGGGCCTTCACCAGCTTGAAAAGGGCCCATAGACAGTAGATGTTTGCCACGAGGTGGTCACCAAAGAGGCAGTGGGCTCTGTCCCCTAGGAGGGCCTTGGAAATGTGCTCTGAGTCCCACGTAGGCCAGAGTGTCTATTCTTACTAGTTTCTGACCCTGTGGCTGGGCTGAGGTTCCCTGGCTGAGGTAGCAGAAGGCCCAGTTGAGCATTCTCCTGATGTCAGTCTGTGGGCAGCAGCAAGTCTACATGATTGGTCAGGAGGAGCTGGTTTGGCAGGCAGCCAGTGTGACCCGTCTCTCCCTCTGGCACTCTCGCTTGGGGAGAAATGTCTCTTCCAGCCCAAATGCAGCCAGGTGGGTCTCCAGAGCCCTCCCTGCTTGGTGGTGGGTTCACATGAGACCAGCCATGGCTGCAGCATCTCTCTGTGAGGACCCACTGAGAATGCATCAAAACAGGAGTGTCAGAAAAACAGAAAAGGCATTAAAACCATTGCTAGATAGTTTTTCATATTTACCACCCAAGACAGGACAGTGCAGGTGCAGGCAGCCAGCCTCTAGGGTGGCAGGAGCAGGCACAAGGTGTTCATACCTGTCCACCGCGTGTACCTCCCTGCACCTGCGCAGCACAGCCCAGCTCTCCCAGGGTCAGAGTGAACTGCAGCAGTTTTGGCTGAGTCTTCTTTGTCTACAACTTCTGGCTGTTCCAGCTTCCTTCTAATTATTGTTTTGTCAACTCCCTGACACTCCTCAAACATTTGTCCACTCAAATCCACCAGCCAGTACCCTACATTGTGCTATAGCCTGGCCACGTCTGCTTCTCTAACAAACTAAGGCTCTTGTAGCTTTGTGGGAAGTCCTTGCTCAGGTTAGGCCACAGCAAAACAGCTCAGCTCAAATGATCCTAAATGTTTTATTTAGATCCGGCTGATCTGACTCAGCCTATGGTCCAGATGTGGCCAAGACAGGAGGCCCAACTCCTAGATTTCTTCTCCCTTACCCTCCATGCTGTGAATTTCACTCCATGCAGGCTTATTTAAAATCCACCAAATCAGTCCTCAGAGAACCTGTTCTATGGTTCAGTAACAGGAGCAGCAGTGCTGCCACATGTCAGCACCTACTCCACAAGCCATGGTTGCAACACTGCTGCCCCGTGAGGCATGCTCTTGCTCAATCAGTTCTAGATAGAATAGCAGTTCTCAACCTGTGGGTCATGACCCATAGGAACTGTATTAAAGGGCCGCAGCATTAGGAAGGTTGAGAACCACTGAGGTAGAAAGAAACCAGGCACATGAGCTGTGTTTTCGCAGAAATAATCAGAAGGGATTTAATAAAACTATTGCCTGCATTTTTTTTTCTTTTTTGAGGCAGTCTCACTCTGTCCTCCTGGGTAGAGTACTTTGGCATCATAGCTCACAGCAACCTCAACTCCTGGCCTCAGGCAATCCTCTTGCCTCAGCCTCCCGAGTGGCTGGGACTACAGTCCACGTGATGCCCAGCTAGTTTGTCTATTTTTAGTGGAGACAGGGTCTCGCTCTGGCTTAGGCTGGTCTGGAACTCCTGAGCTCAGGTGATCCACCCACCTCAGCCTCTCAGAATGCTGGGATTACAGACATGAGCCACCACACCCAGCCTATTGCCTACATTTTTTATCTTGCAAAACCATTCAAAAATAAGCACTATCAGGGCCGGGCACAGTGCCTCACACCTGTAATCTCCAGCACTCTGGGAAGCCCAGGCAGGTGGATCACCTGAGCTCACAAGTTTAAGACCAGGCTGAGACAGAGCAAGACCTCGTCTCTAAAAATATCCAGGTGTTGTAGTGGGCACCTGTAGTCCCAGCTACTTGGAAGGCTGACACAAGAAAATCACTTGGGCCCCAGAGTTTGAGATTGCTTTGAGCTGTGATGCCATGGCACTCTACCAAGGGTGACAAAGTAAGACTCTGTCTCAAATAAATAAATAAATAAACACTATCAACAAAGTCAAGCCCACTGTAGGATGATGAAGTTAGGGTGAAGCTGTGTTTGGACCTGAACTGACAAGACTTCCCAAGAAGAGCCTGGAGGAGCTCTCAGACCAGCCTCCCTCAGGGCAGCTGCTTCAAGGCAACTGAACCCAGCCAGAAGAGCTCATAATTCCGCATGTGGAAGCTACGTGCCTCTTCATGTCTTCAGCCCTGCCAGTCCCTCCTAGGCCTACAGCCCATCCTCCTCCTGCAGGAAAAGCTGCTAGAATTGGAAGGCCAGCACATGGACCCCAAGACGTCCCAGACCCCTTGTCACCCCCAAAATCACTCCCTCCTCTGTCCAGGCCCACAACCGCATGGGTGTAGGCATGAGGCTGTAGCTGTCCTCACCTCTGTGAAGTGAGGTATGACCCTGGATTTGGTTGTTTACATACTCACTGCACTCAGAAGCCTGTCCTCGAGCTCCCCCCACCTCAGCCTCTATGTGAGATGAGAACACTGCCTGTCTCAGAACACTGCAGGCGGAGCTCACACCCACCCAGACACCATGCACATGCCCTTATGCTCCCATGGGGCAGCATGGGAGGCCCTGCCATCCCCAGCTGGGCAGCAGGTTTCAGAGAGGAGCTGCAGGGATTGGGTCAGTGCCATCTATGTTGTTTGGCTTCATTTTTTTTTTTTTTTTTTTTTTGAGACAGAGCCTTAAGCTGTCGCCTTGGGTAGAGTGCCGTGGCATGACAGCTCATAGCAACCTCCAACTCCTGGGCTTAAGCAATTCTCTTGCCTCAGCCTCCCAAGTAACTGGTACTACAGGTGCCCACCACAATGCCTGGCTGTTTTTTGATTGTAGTTGTCATTGTTGTTTGGCAGGCCCAGGCTGGATTCAAACCTGCCAGCTCTGGTGTATATGGCTGCCCCCCTTAGCTGCTTGAGCTACAAGCACCAGGCTATTGTTGTTGAGCTTCTTTAAACTTAATTTAAAAAAAAAATGGCAGCAACCCAAAGGCACATGGGCACTTTTCTAGCAGCTATGGCCCTATAGTGGTGCCCTGGCACACTCAGTCACTAGAGCAGTGGTTCTCAACCTTCTAATGCCACGGCCCTTTAATACAGTTCCTATGGGTTGAGATCCACAGGTTGAGAATCGTTGCCCTAAAGGGTCCCAGAGGTGCCCCCATCCCTGTGCTTTGGGGAGGGCCTGCTGCTGCCTCAGGCCTGGGTCCTGTTCCCTCAAATGCCCCAGAGCAGAGACATGGTGGTCACATAGGTGTCCCTGTGGTAGAGCTGCTATTATTGCCTGAACGCCCCCAGGGAGGGCCTGACTCTGGGCGCCCAGTGGTTGAGGGTGCTGGATGGCCCTCCCCATCCTCAGGCACTGCCCTATGAGCTTGGGGCAGCACAAGTGCCTCCCGACCACAGGTGCCAGGTCAGGGCTGGCCTTGGTCACTGAGTGGGCCTCCACCAGATGCCCCAAGGCTGACCCCTGAGGTGGGAGGCTACAGAGGGGCACGGCCTGGCTGGGAAGTGTTGGAGTAGGGGTGAGTGCCTGAGTGGCAGCCAGGGGACTCCAAGCTCATGCGCCATTTCCTTGCCAGGAGCTGGAGCAGCAGCTCCTCATAGAGAGGAGAAACTACCGGAAGACTCTGAAGTTCTACCAGAAACTCTTACAGAAGGAAAAGCGGAGTAAAGGTAACCACAGGGCAGCACCTCCAGCTGCAGGTAAAGGCACCTGGTCCCATGGGGACGTGCGGTGCCAACACTGCCCTGCCTGCAGGCTCCGAGGTCAGAGCCATGCTGGCCAAGTTGCGGGCACAGCTGGAGGAGATGAGGGCCAAGGTGCAGTTCCTCGGCCTGGTCAAGAAGTACCTGCAGGCAAGTGGGGGCTACCGGGCCTGCGGGCGGGTCTGAGGGGCCAGCAGGGTGGGGTGACGGGCCCACCCCCACATGGCAGGTCCTGTATGCGGAGCGCTGGGGCCTGGAGCCCTGCGCCCTGCCAGTGATTGTGAACATCGCGGCCGCCCCCTGTGACACACTGGACTTCAGCCCCCTGGACGAGTCCTCCTCCCTCATCTTCTACAACGTCAACAAGCCCCCAGGCGGCGGGCGGCAGAGGAAAGCACGCGTCCTGCAGGCTGGCACGCCACTAGGGCTCATGACCTACCTGTACTCCAGGTGAGAGCAATAGGGATGCAGGTTTAGGAAAAACAGAAAAGGCCACAAGAGGAGACAAAGGTAGGAGAGGGGTGGGTCTGTGATTCATTAACTTAGAAAATGTTGGGTCAGAGTTTACATGGACAGGTGAGACTGCCACCTGCTTGCTGCCTGGCCTTGGGGACCTGGGTCCCAGGTGTGCCCAGTGGTCCCTGGGCCCTGCTCAGTTACCAGTTGGGTGGCTTCCAAACATGAGCACACACACAAGCCCATCAAAGATCCAGAGCAGCCATCTGGCTCCCCCAGGAAGGCTGGCTCAGTGAGCCTGTGGGGTGCTCCTGCAGCTGCCACTCAGACAGCCTAGCCAGTGGCATGGCTAGAGCTCATCCTGCAGCAGGGATAGGGCATGGAGCAGGTGCATGGACCTCCTCCCAGGGCCCCAGGCTGCCCCCATGTCCCCTTCTGCCATGCTGTCCTGGGGCAACTGCATCATCCGTTCTCAGGCACAAGGAGCTCCCCAAGCTCTCCTTAGCCGATGACTGACCCACATCTGGGCACAGGGCCAATGGACCACCCATCTTGGCTTGTGGGGAATCTCTGACACCACCTTGGAGCTCCCATGGTCCTCAATGAGTGGAGATGGTGATCCCCTTGGGACATAGCCAGGAGGGCAGGCAGGGAACAATGGGTCTTGGCAGCCAATAGGGAGCAGGGAGGTCACCTCTGTAGACACTCCTGGCCTCAAGGGGTCTCTTTCCCAGTGGGGTCATTCTCCTGAGGTGGGCTACATGTGGGTTTGCCGGGGGCCACCAGCTGGCTGGGGGGACTCCAGGTTGACCTTTAGACTCAGGTCTCAGCCTCCCCTACATCTGCAAGATGCACACCCACCATGGGTCTCTGTGGGTTATAGAGAACATGTATGTGTGTGTGTGAACATGTATATGCAAGTGCATGTGTGTGCAGTGTGGTGTGTGTGCCATGTGTGACCAGGCATGTAGTATGTGATATGCACACATGTCCACATTTGTAGTGTGTATGGTGGTGCGTGGCTGTGCATGTGTGGTATACAGGTATGGTGTACAAGTGAATGTGTGTAACCTGTGTGTGGTGCGCATGTGTGGCCATGGTGTGTGTGCTGTGGTAGGCATGATGTATGTGTTGTGGGGTGTATGGCATGTGCCCATGAGGGGTGTGGTATGTGGTTCTGAGGGGTCTGTAGCATGTATGATATGTATAGTGGTGAGTGTGTGGCACATATGGGTGTATATGATGTGTGGTTTGTATAATGTGACGTGTGTGATGTGTGGTGTATAGCATGTATGACCTATAGTTTGCATAATATGTGTGGTGTGTGCAATTTGATGTGTATGTGTGGCGTTTATGATGTGTGGTGTGGGTGATGTGTGATGTGTATTATGTGTGGCAATGTGAACACAGCACTTCAATCGAGGCTCAGCCTCCTCATCAGAGTCAGTGCTCATGGGCCCTTTCCAGCTCTGGGGTTGGGCAGGCTAGTACCTGGCCTGAGCTGTGGCCACCAGATGCCCAAGCTCCCTCACTCCTGGAATACAGACCCTCTGATCTCTGGTCATCCTACTCCTCAACTCACAGACCCACATGCAGGGCCCGTGTCCCCGGGGTCCCGCCCACTGGCCTGGTCCACTCAGAGGCACCAAGAAGCATGTGGCCCCGCTCTGTTTCCTAAGGCAGCAATTCTTACTTGGAGCTAGGTCACCACATGTGGGCAGTGGCTTCCTGAGTCAGCAGGTTCTAGATGCCCGTGTCCAGCAGTGAGAGACCTTCAAGACTGTGTGAAGAAAGGACCTCACACTGGATAGGGTGGGGAATTTTGAATGTCACCAAAAGCCCCTTCATTTCTCTGGGAACTGTCCTGACAAGCAGCACCATGCACAATCATCACACACACCCAGAACGCTGGCAAGTGTGGGGGGGAGCGGCTAAGCCTGCCATCTCCCCCCCCCACCCAGCGATGCCTTCCTCGAGGGCTACGTCCAACAATTCCTCTACACCTTCCGCTACTTCTGCACACCGCATGACTTCCTGCACTTCCTCCTGGACCGCATCAGCGGCACCCTGCCCAGGTACCACAGCTGCACAGCCCCACACAGCAGAGCTTCTGACCCACAGTGCCATCTTTGGCTGCTGTGAAAGGCGAGGCAGTTCCCAGGGCCCCCAGCAAGGATAAGGGGCCAGTAGAGCCTGGGCAAGAATGTTCAGGGGAAAAGCAGAGGGGCCTGGGAGTACAGAGAGAGCAGAGAAAAAAGCTGGTGGGCAGACAGGGCCTGAGAGGCTCTTACCTGCTGACCAGGAACATGAAAGTCTGGCTGGCCCTCAAATGTCTTGGGTGGGGCACCCATAACCAACAGTTGGGACAGGGACAGGAGAGAATGGCAGCCATGGGTGGAAGTGCTCTTGCCTCTCTGAGCTCACCTGTCCACACTCCCAGGATGCCCCAGACACCCCCTCCTATCCAGGCTGAGTGCCCCCAGGCCATCAGCCAGTCAGCTCTGGCCTTGGGGGAAGAGACCCACAGAAAGCTCCCAGGTCACCTCACTCCCCACGTGAGAAGGTGGGTAGGTGCACACTGCCCTTGGGAAGGCTGGCTCGCTGCCTGCTGCTCCCCCACCTCTGCCCGCTCCCCCAGTGTCCCGGGCGCCTCAGGCTGCTCCGTGTGCCTCCAGGGCCCACCAGGACCCCACGTCGACCTTCACCAAGATCTACAAGCGGAGCCTCTGCGTCCTGCAGGCCTGGCTGGAAGACTGCTACACCGTGGACTTCACCAGGAATACAGGGCTGCAGGGGCGGCTGGAAGACTTCATCTCCTCTAAGGTGGGGCCACACTCTGGATCCCCACTGTGAGTGGTGCTGCCTTCACCCTGGAGGAGGCAGTGACCCCCACCTATATCTGCCTAGATCCTGCCCTTGGATGGCTCTGCCGAACATCTGCTGGGCCTTCTGGAAGTACACACAGATAGGCGGGCTGAAGGTGCCCCTCGAGGCACAGACTTGGAGGATATCAAGGAGGCTGAGGAGGATACCAGACCCTTCAACGCCCTCTGTAAGAGGCTCTCTGAGGACGGCATCTCCCGGAAGGTGGGGGCCCTTCCGGGTGTAAAGGTGGGTAAGACTCGCTGAGCCCAGCCTCAGGGACACAGCATGTGCATACACAAGCACACACATACATGGGCATGCAAAGGCATATACATGTGCATGTGTGCACACAAACATGAAGGCGTGCAAGGTACACATGTACACACATGCATATACATGGACATGTGTACGTGCATAAATATACATGCACATGTGTGTCTGTGTGCACACATACACCTGGTACACAGGCACACACATGCATATACATGCACACGTGTTTGTGTGCACACATATACCCAGTGCTCAGGCATATGCATACATATACACACAGTGTCTGTGTGCACACACACACTCTCTATCTCTTGGGCTGGCACTCTGTGCCCTAAGTCTGGTGCTCAGGTGCTGGGCCTGCTGTTTATAACTCATTGCTCTCACCTTCCCGACATGGGCCTAAGATCTGAGTGGAAGAACCTTCGGTGGGGAAATGAATGGTCTTTCCATCAATAGGTGGGGATAGCCCCCAGATTCAGCAGCTTTGTCCATAAGAAACTGTTGAAATGACAAGGACAGGTATCCTTGTGCCAACAGCTGTGGAGCGGCAGGTTTTGCTCTCTGGCTCCACTGAGTCCTAGGCTTTGACGCAGGCTGGTCCCTGCCCTACCCCCAGGCCTGGACCCCTGACCTGGAGGGGACATCCAAGCTCAGGCTCCTCTGTACCTGGCCTGTCCTACAGAGCTTCCCCTGGAGACTGCCCCGGGGCAATGGGCTGGCACTGCCACAGCACAAGGAGCGCCCATACACCATCGCTGCTGCCCTGCCCAAGCCTTGCTTCCTCGAGGACTTCTATGGTCCCTGTGCCAAAGCCAGCGAGAAGGGGCCCTACTTCCTGACAGAGTACAGCACACATCAGCTCTTCAGTCAACTGACGCTGCTGCAGCAGGTAAGGGAGAGAGAAGATCCCATGCCCTGTCCTCTGCAGGTGTCCCAGGGTCACAGGCACCACTGGGCCCTCAGCCCATGCTTCTTGGAGGAAGAGATGCGTGGTCAGGGAATGGACCAGCTGCCAAGTGCACAGGTCTGAGGAAGCTGCTGCCTGAATAGGGGGCCCAGAGTGCCTGAACTCCACCAAAGGGTCCACTCACGGGGCCTGGCCCCTCTCTCCACCCTGGCCCTCTTGCAAGTGCTACAGGACATCCCAGGGCCACATGGGCACATGGCCTCTTCCCCTCAGCTAGGCAGCCCCTGTGCTACTCCTCCCTCTGCTCCCACCCAAACAGCCCAGGAAGCCCCCCAAGTCCCCACCATCCTGGCAAGTCACACAGCCAATCCTACCAGGGCTGAGGATGCTGTGAGCCCCTGGGGGGCTGGACACAGAGGAAGCCCTGCTAGCCAGGCCTGTGGCTTATTGGGTGGGCACTGAGCTGAGATTGCAGAGAGGGCCCCAGAAACCACTGCCCTCCCTGGGACCCTTCCTCAGCCACAAGGCCTTAGGGACAGTGGCCTGAACCTCTGTTTCTGTGCCTTGCGCAGGAATTGTTTCAAAAGTGCCATCCTGTCCACTTCCTGAACTCACGAGCCCTGGGCGTCATGGACAAAAGCACAGCCTTCTCCAAGTGAGTGTCCCTGTGCTGTCACTAGGCCCCTGGTTTGGAGGGGTGGAGGGAGGGTCTCATGGACACTCCTGGCCAAAGGGAAATGCCTGGGTCTCACTCAACCTATGAGAACAGCCCCTCAGCCAAACCCCCGGCCATTGACACAGAGAGCCCCCGCAGGCCTGAAGCAGAGAGGGCCCCCTACATATGTACTGGGGTGACCCACACAAGTTCCATTCCAGGTCCAGCTCTTCTGAGTCCCTGTCGGCCAAAACCTGCAGCTTATTTCTGCCCAATTACATCCAGGACAAGTACCTGTTACAGCTTTTAAGAAACGCTGACGACATCACCACCTGGGTGGCTGCCGAAATCGTGACCAGCCACACCTCCAAGGTGGGCTCCTGGCTCTGCTATCAGAGCACGGCGTGGGGTTCACCAGCTGCAGGGCCAGCAGCACCTCTGCCGCACCGTGGTCACTACCTCCTCCTCACAAAGGAGGCCCCACTTCATGCCTCAAAGACACACCCAGCCACGGCAAAGTCTCCCATTAATGAGGGCCTTCCCCCATACCTTCCATTTCGCCAAAGCACACTAGTCATGTGCCCAGCACGGCACTGTCCGCCTCTGTCCAGGGCACTGGTCAGCTGTGAGCCACTGGGGCTGCTGGGGACACAGGATGAGCTGCACCCCTGACAGAGCCCTGTCTGTGCTCACAGATAGTCCCCTCACAAGCCTCCACACACCGACACACAATCCCCCTTAAACAATCACACACACAATCCACACACACATAATCCCCCTCATACAGAATCCCTATACACACACAGTCACACATACACTCTCACACAGTCCCTTTGCACACACAGAATACACATAAACCCACAGTTCCCTTCATTTCATACACACACAGCTAAGTCAGAACATGCTCCATCCAGGGACTGGTCACTCAGCTGAGCTCCTCTCCAGGGCTGGGTGTGTGACTCCACCCGTCCCCCCTACTGTGCATTGTGGGTCCTCATCCAGTTTGTGGAGGAAATGAGATGCAGCTCAGTGGTCTTGTCCCTTGACCAACTCAGGGCAAGGAAACAGGGAGCCTGGGTCACCCTTTACCCTAATCCTCAACATCCTGAGTATCATGAGGGATTTTAAACACTGTCCTCAATCAGGGGCTAAGGGGCTGGGCTTCTTAAGGATCAGTACAGAAGTGCTAACCTCACGTCCTGGGAGCACCCTAACCCTGAGCTGCTCCAGAAGGCAAAGGATGGGGCCTTCCATCCTGAGAGGGGCCCCTAGTCTGCAGCATCCTGCCCAGAGGCTGAAGACAACACCGTCCTGGTGGGCATCACCCATTCCCAATCTCAGGTCAGCATCAGAGACAAGCCATGCAGACTCATACCCAGAGCCAGCAGCTCCTAGGAGGGAGTGAAGGACTCTGGTGTCACCAAGATGAAACTCTCTCCACAGCTCCCACGTCCCTGTAAATGAAAGGTGGACATAGAGTCAGTCAGATAATGCAACCTTCACCACAGAGTGGCCAGCACAGATTTCATGTCGCTCACTGTGGTGTTAGAACCATCCAGAGACTGAGTTGGACAGTTGTAAATTTATAATCCCAGATAATTATTAAAATACAAAATTTGAGCCAGAGTGTAACTCTGGCCAATAAAAGCTCTCCATGATAACAGTTCATCCCATTCAGGTAAAATCGGGGAACAATGTGGAAATGAGGCCAAGAAAAAGTGCCTTACTGTAAAGAAAAATTCGCCGTCTTTTATTGGATGAATAATGGTGGTTTTGATGCATTAAATATGTTTAAGAGCATGCAGCACAGCAGCCAAGAAGCAGGAGCACCTTGATATCCATGGACAGGTGAACAGGTGGAGAAAATGGGTCCATGCACACCATGACATGTCAGTCAGCCTGGAAAAGGAAGGAGATTCTAGCACAGGCTGTGAGAACGGTATGCTCAGTGAATGAACCAGTCACAAGCCACAAATGCTGCATGACTCCATGTGTACAAGGTCCCCGAGGACTCAAACTCACAGGGACAGAAAGTGGAAGGGTGTGGGGGTAGGGAGCCCAAGGGGAGTTAGTGTTTGATGAGGACACAGTTTCAGTTTTGCAAAGTGAAAAAGTTCTAGCCATTGGCTGTACAACAATGTGAATGCAGTTAGCACCGCTAAGCTGCGCGTTTTAATACCAGTACAAGGGTAAAGTCTATATTACATATTTTTTACAACTACAAATTTAATTAATTAAAAAGGTGATGGAACAGTTTTATCTGAAAACTAATGCTTTGCATCTATTTGAATCTATGAAGAAAAAAACTAAGATGTCTACTCAAAAAGTGTGAGCAGGTAAATGTTTTTCAAGATCCTTGAAGGGGACTTGGCGCCTGTGGCTCAAGTGGCTAAGGCGCCAGCCACGTACACCCAAGGTGGCAGGTTTGAATCCGGCCCGGGCCGCCAAACAACAATGACAGCTGCAACCAAAAAATAGCAGGGCGTTGTGGCGGGCGCCTGTGGTCCCAGCTACTTGGGAGGCTGAGGCAGGAGACTCGCTTCCGCCCAGGAGTGGGAGGTTGCTGTGAGCTGAGATGCCATGGCACTCTACCCAGGGGGACAGCTTGAGACTCCTGTCTCAAAAAAAGAAAAGATCCTTTAGGGGGTGCTCAAGACAGAGGCCACAGCCATGAACAATCTCAGGGTCTCATCTGTGTCTGCAGACAGGACTCAAGCACTGTGGAGGTGTGTCCTTGGAACCTGCAATCTATTTACACCAAGACAGCCCCGGCTGTGGTGACATTCCTTAAGCTGCTCTGGAATGTCATCTGAGTACTCCAGAATCTGCAGAACCACTATGAAAGGAACGACAATCACACTCAGCATGGCATATGTTGCCCACAGGTGTTCTTGTCAAATTCAGCACATTTGTCACTTCCAGCCAAGAAGCCCCAAAGGAAGTGTCCACTCTTTTTTTTTTTTTTTTTTTTTTTTTGAGACAGAGCCTCAAGCTGTCTCCCTGGGTAGAGTGCCATGGCATTACAGCTCACAGCAACCTCCAACTCCTGGGCTCAAGCGAGTCTCCTGCCTCCGCCTCCCAAGTAGCTGGGACCACAGGCGCCCGCCACAACGCCTGGCTATTTTTTGGTTGCAGCCGTCATTGTTGTTTGGCGGGTCCGGGCTGGGGATTCGAACCCGCCACCTTAGGTGTACGTGGCTGGCGCCTTAGCCGGTTGAGCTATAGGCGCCGAGCCGGAAGTGTCCACTCTTAAGGGACTACATCCTGATGGCACCAACCTCCTGCAGCAGACTCAGCAGGTGCACGATGAGAAGTGCCCACTGGTTCCACACCTGCCTAGGGATGTGTCCTCTCTGTCTCCCTGGGGAAAGCGTCCCCCTTGGGCCACTCCTAGGGCAGCTTGGAACCTGGGGAGGTTTGTCCTGGTGCAACTTTGCTTTTGAAAAGTGAGGCTGGACTTCTTTTCACATCTTTCCACTACCAGGCATTGCCTTTTTGCTTTGTTTTGTTTCCAGTAATGCCCACTCCAATGCCAGCCCCATGACACAGCACACGCTGTTCTGTGCCTTGAAGCTCAGCTATTTTAACAGTTCTTAAGGGTGCATTTGTTCTCCTTAAACTAGAAGACAATGAGTGTGCCATTTTCTCGTTTCAGTTGCAAGTGAACTTGCTGTCCAAATTTTTGCTGATTGCAAAATCTTGCTACGAGCAGAGGAACTTTGCGACAGCCATGCAGATCCTGGGTGGGCTGGAGCACCTGGCTGTGAGGCAGTCTCCTGTGCGTCTCCTTGGGCTGTGTGGGTATGGGTGTAAGTACCACAGGGCCACAGGCATCTCAACTGTGCTTTCGTTTCAGGCCTGGAGAATTCTTCCCGCAAAGATGGCAGAGATTCTGGAGGAGCTAAAAGCTGTGGAGGTACTAGTGCCCAGCGCCCACCTGGGGCCTCTCGTTACCGACCCACCTGCGTTGCAGCATCCCAGACCTGCAGCACCAGCTTAGCCCTGCTGTGGGAACCCTCCAGCCAGTTCCTGGTGTGGCCTCTGCCACCAACCTGGGCAAAAGTGCCTCCCACTGGGTCTCCAGGCTTCCCTGGTCCAAGCTCCCTGCACAGGCTATGGGTGCCCAAAGATGGGGCTGAGGCTCTTAACTGAGGCCTAAGCCTACCTGACCCAGAGGCCTCCCCTAGGAGATAACAATGAGATGCCATTTCTCTTGAAACCATTTGATCGTGAACTTGTCAAAATGAGGCAGTGGGAGCCACAGAGCAGGCATGGCCTGGCTCATCCTGGAGCTCAGAGCCTAGCCTCAGCTCTCCATGGGTGAGAGGAACATGTGCATGTCCTCACCAGACACAGATGTACTGCTGGCCAGCCCAGGTCTGGTCCAGGCAGCCCTGCAGAATAAGGAGAGGGTTTCACCATGTCCGCAGCACTAGGTGTCTTCTTGTGCCAGCAAGTATGAGGCCAAGAATTGCCAATCTGCAGTCCAGGAATGCAGGCCACACTCTGGACTGGGTGCTACATCAGAGTCTGCACAGCCCCCATGCATGGAGCCTATAGGCGTCAACTGGCCCCGGACAGGCTGAGGTGCCCCTGGCTGAGCCTCTTGGCCTGACCACCCCCGTCTCTCCCCTGACCACACCCCTGATCGGTCCACCAGGTCTTCCTGAAGAGTGACAGCCTATGTCTAATGGAAGGGAGGCGCTTCCGGGCCCAGCCCACTCTGCCCTCAGCTCGCCTCCTGGCCATGCATGTCCAGCAGCTGGAGACAGGGGGCTTTACTATGACCAATGGTGCCCACAGGTGGGGCAAGCTCAGGTGAGGAAAGCCCAGCATGACCCAGACCCAGGGGAAGAGGGCTAAAGTGAGGAGGCCCAAATGACCACAGGCTCAAGGGGAGGGAACACAGGTGAGGGGGCCCAACATGACCACAGACCCGGGGGAAGGTCAGATGAGGGAACAACATGACCACAGACCCAGGGGAAGGTCAGATGAGGGAACAGCATGACCACAGGCCTGGGGGAAGGGGGCTCAGATGAGGGGACCCAGCATGACCCAGACCCAAGAGGAGGGGGCTCAAGTGAGGGACCCAGCATGACTATAGGCCCAAAGGGAGAGGGCTAAGGTGAGGTGACCACAGGTGCAAGGGGAGGAGGCTCAGGTGACCACAAACCCAGGGGGAAGGTCAGGTGAGGGGGCCCAGCATGACCCAGAGCCATGGGGAGGGTCAGGTGAGGGGCCCAGCATGACCACAGGCCTGGGGAAAGGGGGCTTGGGTAAAGGGACCCAGCATGACCCAGAGCCAGGGCGAGGGGGCTCAGGTAAGGGGACCTGGCATGACCCATGACTTGCCAGGGGCCTCAGTCCCCCCCACCCCAGGAACACTGCCATCTCTGCTTCTGCAGACAGTGCATTTCCTGCAGTTCCCATGTATTTGGTCTTAAAACACTCCCAGGTGTCAGTGAACAGAAGCCACTCAGGTGGCAACCCGCCCCCTAGGGTACACACTTGCCCTTTCCCTGACCCCTCTATCCCCTCCCTAGAGATATACATGCAGGACCCGTGGTTAGGCCTCAGCCTGTCCCCTGGTCCCACTATTCACCTGCCCAGAACACCTGGGCCCAACACCCTGCACACAGCCCAGGAGTGTCCAATCACGGCCACCTCCCCACACAGGGACTGGCACCTCCTAGCCCATAGAGCATCACAGCTCTCGCTTCTGCCACAGCACACAAGTGCTCCCCCCATAACCTCCCACCCTGTGTCTCCCCAGCCTGCACACCAGCAGTCAGGTGGAGGCTGGTCAGGCCATAGCCAGCCACTCACTTTTCCAAGGGCAGATGGCCTCAGCTGGTGAGTGGGACCCAGAGGACACAGTCCCAACCTGCCTGACACAGGACCACTTCTTACATAGTCACCAATCTAAAAAACAAACAATATACCATTGATACACGCTTATTGTGAGACCAGGAAACCCCTATCAGCAGAAAGGATGTTGAAAACTTAAGTTAATGCCAGAACTGGAAAGTGCATGACTAAGACTCAGTGTTTGCCCTTGACGCTGCATGAGAGCATGTTCACACTTGCCCTTTAGTTGACAAAGATGACATCGAACTGGGTATACTGTTTCTTCATCCAACAACAGGGTGGAGCATCTGGGGGCTGCAGCTCCCTGGGCAGAATTAAGGGTGCCTTCTTTCAAAGCCCCAGTCTTTCTATCCTGGGTGTTCTTTGATGGCGTTCTCCAGGGAACAGTCCAGGTGCACAGCAGTGCTGGCACCTGGGGTACAACTGCCCAGCCAAGGCAGTGTCAAGCCCAGAACACCACGGGACGTGCCATATACACTTCTGTCTGCCCAGCCTTCTCAGCTGTGAGCCCCAGGCCTGACACTAGGTGTTCCTCTCAGGACCCTCAGCCAGTGTCAGACACAGCAGTTTTTCAATAAACACTCATGTATTGAGAAGTAAATGGATAGATGGCTGAACAGACAGACAGCAAAAAGGCCTGAGTACTAAAATGAGGTTTGGCCTTGTAAATAAATACTGAAAACACATCCTTGGTTTTTCTAATTTCAAAGAGTTTGGTTCAAACTAAGAACAGGCCAGGAACTCACCACAGAAAGCTGCCCCTTCCAAGGGAAACTAATATCTCTTTTCCCTCCTCCTCCTCGAAAGAAACATAGCCAAAGTGGTGAGCCAGGTCCACGCATTCCAGGAGAACCCCTACGCGTTCAGCCCAGACCCCAAGCTCCAGTCGTACCTCAAGCAGAGGATCGCTCGCTTCAGTGGGGCCGACATCTCCACCTTGGCGGCAGACAGCAGGACCAACTCCCACCAGGTCTCCAGTGAGAAACACTCGCGCAAGATCCAGGACAAGCTGCGTAGGATGAAAGCCACATTCCAGTAGCCAAGCAGAGTCGGGTGTGGAATTCTGAACACCAACTAGCCAGGACAGCTGCAGGCAGAGGAAGCACACACCAGGACCACAGAGCCCCACTGGGGCTGCACGCCTGGGTGAGGCTGATCCCACCACTGTGGGGTCCAAAGGTGGGGGCTCCACGAGGGCAGCGCAATCTCTTCCCAGAAGATGGAGGCAGGGTGGGCCAGAATCTTAGGGGCTTGGGTGTTTCTGCTAGAATTAAAAAATTAACTTTATAAATAAAAATAGAGTAGACTTCCCAAGAGTTTTGAAATACCTTTCATATGACCCTCTTTAAAAACCCTTACTGGTTCACCCCTGGGGAGATTCCATCTGTACCTGCCCACATTCTGGTCCCCCTAAAGTGGTCTCAGACTCGCAGCTAAGCACGGCTCCAGGGTTCCCAAACCTGCCTGAGCCCCTGCCCCACAGTGTGCAGATGCCTGGGGCTCACCTGGGAAGGGGAGCAGCATCCCAGCCCAACCTCCTGCAGGGGTGAGCACCTGGGGCTGGACTCCCCCATGCAACTCAGCGCTCCCCAGCATGGAACTGCCCTGTGAGCCAGCCAAGGCCGCAGGGCAACAGGCGCCAAAGAAGAGATGTCACAGTCTGGTGTGGGAGCGGCCGCCGCCCACCTGCCTCCAGCACCCGCACCTACACCCTGACCCCCATGCCCACTGTGTCCATGCACCTGCTGCTCCCAGCATCTCAGCACTCAAGCTCCCAAGACCACTGTGCCCATGCACTGGGCGCTGTCACTCGTGCTTCACCAGAGGACAGCCAGCCTCGGACTCAGTGGCACCAAGCCCCTCCTTGAGGCTCAGCCCCCTAACAGCTGGGCTGAGCTCTAGCTCAGGAGGGAGTCCCCCTGCCCAGGAGGCCGTGAACAGGGCAGGGTGGTCCCCGGGGCCACTGTGACGATGGACTCCTGGCAGGGTCACTGAGCCGGGGGGCATCCCACACTCTGGCTATCATAGCACGAACTGCAAAACCCAGAAATTTTGAGTTTTAGAACTGGTGATTCTTTAGACCATCCAGCTAGTGGTGTTTCTAGGAAAACTGTTACTTGCGACAATAATTTTCAACGTCCAGTCTAGTTTCCCCACATAAGTCCATTGGAGACACCAGCCCTGCTTAAATGGAATGCAGGAGGGCTCAGCATCTAGTCGTGCAAAGCGCACATTCTTAGGGTTTTACGTGAGGACTGTGCTCTGCAGATCAAGTCCCACATTTCAGGTTTTGTATTTAACATAGTAGTATCTGGCCACAGTAGAATTTCCATCGTAATGAATTGTTTTCCTGGGGAAGTGATCAGGCTTTGGCTTCAGCATAACCATTTGCATGTCTCCCCCAACATCACATGGCGCCATTTATAAATAAAGTCATTTCTACCAAACTGCTTTCATGAGGCTCACTCTGTGGGTCTCCAAAGCAACATCTGCTTTGGGGGTCTAAGTGGTTCCCTTGTAGCCAAAGGAAGACACCTTTACAAGAGCTCATGCACTCACAACTGCACAGAGAGAGGCCCAGGTGTGCAGGACCCTAGTTTAAGACCCCAGGAGGAGAGACACCCCCAGGCTTCCAGACCATGTGAATGGCCCACTCACCCTGTGGCCCCAGTAGCTTGCTCTGCTGAAGGGTGTGAGCAGCCTAAGACCTGAGGCATCAGAAACACTCAGCACCTCCAGCCAGAGCCTGTTCTACTGTAAATGCTGCCCATCCCAGCCAGTGCCCACCTGGCAGCCCAAACACCACCAGCAGCTTGTGGGCAACACAGAGCTGAGTCCACTGCTACCCACAAAGGGGCTCCTCAGAGCTCTGGCCATGACCCAAGAGGGAGGCACAGTAGGTGCCCTTATGAAGCCAGGGGCTTCGTAAGCAGTGCAAAAGGACCCCTATGTCATAGTTTAGGGTTGGTGGGTGCAGCAAAGTGACAGGCAGAAGACCAGGACTTAAAGAGTTTTAGAGAGTGAAGTGTAGGTGCTTTTTATGGAGTGACCAGTCTTTGGGTCTTTGGGAAAGTGCCCGGGATGGACAATGCAGTTATCTGCCAGGGCAGGAGGGCCAGGAGAGGAAGGCCAGGCTAACAGAGAGACATTGCAGTAACAGGCGAGCAGTAGCTGCTTCCAGTGGGTGTTTTGATATCCAGGTGGAGTGTGGTGGGTGCTTTGGGCCTTACTCACACTAATTAAATCATTGAAAACCATCTTTTTTTCTGGCTTCCTTGTTGATACGTAAGGACGCTGCCTGCCATGTATACAGGGTCTCCCTTCACTCTGCTCTGCTGACCCCAGGTTTTGTTTTGTTTTTTGTTTTTTTTTTTTTGGAGAAATGACCCCAGAGCCCCTGAGAGCTTCACTGCCCAGCCCAGACCAGCCACAGCACTTGCCACTTAAGGAAACCCTGAAGGTCTCTGGAAACAGTGTTAGAGGGGACACCCTCACCTGCCCCAGTCATAAGAAACACAGATGAGCAGACTCTGGCCTTGTCCAAGCTGCTAACCATAGACTGCTCACATAATAATCTGGCATGGCCTTCTCCACTGCTGTAGAGAGGTTTGCTACACCACAGGACACTACTAAAATGCTACTCCTACAGCATTAGAACATGAATACTCCAGTCTGAGACCCAGTTTTCTGTCTTTAAAAGCAAGATGAAGCCTTAGCAGCGCCTATGGCCCAGTGAGTAGAGCACTAGCCCCATATACTAAGGGTGAAGGGTTCAAACCCACCTCCAGCCAAACTACAACAACAAAAAAGCTGGGTGGCGCCTATGGCTCAAAAGAGTAGGGCGCCAGCCCCATATGCCAGAGGTGGCGGGTTCAAACCCAGCTCCAGCCAAAAACTGCAAGAAAAAAAAAAAAAAAAAGCCGTGCGTTGTGGCAAGCACCCATAGTCCCAGCTACTCAGGAGGCTGAGGCAAGAGAATCACCTAAGCCCAAGAGCTGGAGGTTGCTGTGAACTATGACACCACAGCTCTCTACTGAGGGCAACAAAGTGAGACTCTATCTCAAAAAAAAAAGAAAAACCAATAAATAAATAAATAAAAATAAAAATAAAAGATGACACAAGCTAGCTTACTAGCGGGGGAGGGGAGGGCTGTGTTGCTCCTGTTGTTACCCATATCCTGAGCATGCCACCAAGTCTATGTGACTTCTCCCTGGACTGCCATGCCTTGGGCCACTACCACCCCCACCCCCTCACCCTCATCTTAGCTCCCACACCATGCACTCACGAGAAGCACACTGGTGGCTCCAGTACTGGCTGGTCATGCTCTCACACAGCCATTTTCCAAGAGTTTTTCGGAGAAGTGAGTCCCCTATCCACAGGCAGAAGCCGTGGCCTCTGGGGGTCTGTACTTTAAAACTACTGCTGTAGCCCCAACAGAGCAAACATCCCTTTGTGGCACAGCCTTCCCAGCCCTGGCACCCATTGATCAGCTCTCCATCCCGAAGTTTTGCCTTTTCTAGGATGTCCTTCAGACGGGGCCACTCAGCACATAGCCTTGGGGTCTGGCTTCTTTCACTCAGGTAATGCAGGTGGGATTCAATCCTGTTGCACAGACAGAGCTCCCGTGTGCTCTGCAGCGAGGATGTTGCCAAGGGTTTGCTCGGCCCCTGGTGAGCAGGCTTCTTGGCTACATCTGAGGCTTGGCAATTATGAATAAAGGCTGCACAGACTCTGTGTACAGTGTTCGCATAGACGTAAGTTTTCAACTCTTTTGGGTAAATACAAGGATTACAAATGCTGGGTCGTATGGTAAGAGTGTGCAAGAAACCACCAGACTCTCTTCTAGAATAGCTGTGCCATTTTTCATTCTGACTAGCAGTAAGTTCCTGTTCTTGTCAGTATGCTGGGTTTTAGACATTCTGCTAGGTGTGTGGTGATTCTCATTTGAGTCTTATTTTGAATTTCTCTAATAACAAGTGATGGTAAGCATCTATTAACATCCCTATTTGCCCTCTGTCCATCTTCTTTGGCAAAGATCAGGTATTTTCTCCACTTTTTATGGAGTTGTTGTATATGATACAGGGTGAGAAATACTAACTCTGTCAAAAACCCATGGAGGCCAGGTGAGGTGGCTCACACCTCTAATCCCAGCTCTTTGGGAGGCTGAGGCAGGAGGAGCCCTTGAGCTCAGGAATTCGAGACCAGTCTGAGCATCAGTGAAATCCTGTCTCTACAAAAAAGAATAATCAGCCAGGCATAGTGGTGCATTGTCTGTAGTCCCACCTACTGGGGAGGATGAGACGGGAGGATCGCTTGAGCCCAGAAATTTAAGGTTGTTGTGAGCTATGATGAAGCCATAGCACTCTCGCCTGGATGACAGAGAAATACCTCTCTAAAAAAACAGAAACTCCTCCTTGAGTTTCAGTTTTAAAAATCCTGGAAATGTACTCCTGGTCCTGCTTGAGTTGGATGTCCACTCCTGGAGCAATCAGTTAGCAATGACCAGAGGCAGGTGACTCAGGACAGGCTTTGCCTGGGTCTCATCTCCAATTTCTGGATACATTTCTAGAATTGGGGGCCTTCATGAGCTGAGTAGACACCATAAAAGTTGTAGCACACTTTTATGTAATAAATTCCTAACTGAAAAAAAAAAAACAAAAACCTAGTACTACCTCCCCCCTCCAAAAAATGACCTTTACTGTAAGCAGGATGTTGCGGACCCCAGGATGGACCGATTTCAATGGAATGACAAGTTACTACCTGCAGCTACAAATGGTTGAAACCTCCTCACTGACAGGAAAGTAAGCAAATTAAAGACAGGACACTTCAGACAACACTGCACTCTGGGGGGCAAATTTGTTTCTCAAAGAAATTCAAGTCAGCAACTTTCCACTCACACAGGGTTTAACAATAAAGGAGTTGTAGGTCAGGCCGCCAGGACGCCCCCAACCATCCAAGAAAGAAGTTGCACATGGCTCGGTGCCTATAGCTCAGCGGCTAGGGTGCCAGCCACGTACACCGGAGCTGGCAGGTTCGAACCCAGCCCGGGCCTGCCTAACAACGG